ACAGCGAGAGACCGTTTAGTGCTGCATCACATGTCTTCGATGAGAAGAGGAAGGGGTGATTGTTGCTGGTTTACTGTATGATTGAAACCTCGAAATGGCCTTAAACAATTAGTAAATAAACTGCAGAACGTTATGTTTTCTAATACACATACGCATTGCATCAGCGAATGTTCGGCAACCGAAATTATTCGTCCGAAAACAGAAAAAAAAGCTATTTCGGTTTTCGGCCGAATAAGCGAAAAGACAGAATAAATTGTACCGAACAATGACGTGACGCTATCAAATAGCAACCAGCGTAGAGTGAGAGGCACGCACTCTTTATAATGCAGCACACATGTCAGCAGTGTGGAAGCATTTAAAACTGTCCGAGAAAGACGCAAAAATTATTACAAGCACCGACAGCGAGAGACTGTTTAGTACTGCATCTCATGTAGGGTTGTGATGGTGAGGAAAATTTCCCACCGGTTAATCGACGAGTGACAACACCGGTAATACCGGTATCACTGTTGGGGTGGGGGGTTAGTTCGTTTGAGTTTCCCTCTTTTCTCGGATTTCTTGGCTTTCAAATAGCTTGAAAAAGCGCTGTGCGAATTTTACTTTCACTTTCAAATTAGGGGCAATTCAGCGTTGATTCAATTCAAGCAACAACAACGTCAAACTCAGAACTTTTATCAACTAAATGAATAAAAATACACCATATAGGCCTATGCCTAATAAAATAACGAATTACTTAGGCTACACAAAGTTTAAATAGGTATATAAAACTGAAAATCAGCAAACACTGTGGAACCAAATAAATAAGAAACATAGAACGTTTATTAGCAAAACGAATAAGAAAGCTTGGAGGCACGGCATATACACCTTGACGTAAAATAAAATAAATAAAATACACAAAGTTTAAATAAAGTAATCAGCAAACACTGTGGAACCAAATAAATAAGAAACGAATGTTTAAAAAAAAATAAAACTTCGTCAATAGGCTTTTAAAAATCTAAAATATTGTCAAACAGGCGCCTTTGTGTTTCCTTTCTAAACAATCTTCTGCCATCGTCTTGTCTTTCTCACCTCACTCTTGTCAGTCAGTTCGACTCACTCTCCTCACGTGATAAATAAAATCTGACTCCTTCTCCGTGGTGCACTGTCGTTCGCGCACGGTTCGGCACGCTGCATTGAGCGTTTAGTTTTTAAAAGTATCTGTCCTCTAACTGAACTAGGCTAAAAGATTTTTGTTACTATAAAAAATCAAAACGACGGTGGGGGCCGGTGGCAAATGACGTAACCAGTGTTGCGGCTTAACACCGGTATAACCGAAAACACCGTCTATCGCAGCAAGCTTAATCTCATGTCTTCGATGAGAAGAGGAAGGGCTGATTGTTGCTGGTTACTGTATGATTGAAATCGCGAAATGGCCTTAAACACCACCGGTTAATCGACGAGTGACAACACCGGTAATACCGGTATCACTGTTGGGGTGGGGGGTTAGTTCGTTTGAGTTTCCCTCTTTTCTCGGATTTCTTGGCTTTCAAATAGCTTGAAAAAGCGCTGTGCGAATTTTACTTTCACTTTCAAATTAGGGGCAATTCAGCGTTGATTCAATTCAAGCAACAACAACATCAAACTCAGAACTTTTATCAACTAAATGAATAAAAATACACCATATAGGCCTATGCCTAATAAAATAACGAATTACTTAGGCTACACAAAGTTTAAATAGGTATATAAAACTGAAAATCAGCAAACACTGTGGAACCAAATAAATAAGAAACATAGAATGTTTATTAGCAAAACGAATAAGAAAGCTTGGAGGCACGGCATATACACCTTGACGTAAAATAAAATAAATAAAATACACAAAGTTTAAATAAAGTAATCAGCAAACACTGTAGAACCAAATAAATAAGAAAGAATGTTTAAAAAAACTTCCAGTCAATAGGCTTTTCAAAATCTAAAATATTGCCAAACAGGCGCCATTTACTTTCTAAACAATCTTCTGCCATTGTCTTGTCTTTCTCACCTCACTCTTGTCAGTCAGCTCGACTCACTCTCCTCACGTGATAAATAAAATCTGA